GGAAATAGAGGGACTGAGAGCTGGCGGCCAGGAGCAGACTTGCAGAAAGTGCCCTTGTGTGGTGTAAATTATTATATATGCCTGGATGTTTTCTAGAAAAAAAAAAAAAGTGCTAATATGAATAGAAAGAAATACTGTTGACAGATGGTACATGATGAGGATTGTGGTCATTGTAATGAAACAAAATATATGATTTGTTGAATGTAAAACTGATGATCTGCCCTGTAAACTTTCACTCAATTCACAATAAAACTTAAAAAAAAAAAAAGGCATTTGACGACCTTATGGATATTGTGTTCTCCTGCCTATTGTTGTAAAATAAACACACATGTGTGATACTAATATTGGGAATTATGATTATAGAGAGCTTGTAAGCCCACTTTCAGCCTATACTTGATTGGATTTGCTAAAAGGGGAGTTAGAATTTGCCCTAAAAAACCAGGCTTTTGGACATTTGATTTTTGGAGGCATCAAGACAAGGAAATTCAGCCTATCAAAGAAAACCCCCTTCTAGGACTGAAAGTTAAAGGGAACCGGAGCCATATGCTCTCTGGTGACCACCTGGATCTACTTGTGAGTGGAAATGGGGAAAGTGCATGGATGAAGACATCATTGAGTTTGGATATATTCTATTGGCACCCATTGCCTTTGAGATAAGAGATGCAGGAAGGATGGCTAGTTCGAAGTTTAGGGAGTTGTGTGAACTAGAACCCACAGGCTGGGCTGAGAGTGAAGGGTCAGCTGATTTGTTTGAAATGCAGAGAGGTATGTGTGAACTTCCAAACATGCAGTCGGTATCCATTTGTTCTAGCTTGAGTAGCTAGTGTTGAGTTGAAGGGAACCTGACCAGATGAAGGTAAAGATATTTGATACTCTGAACAAGTATCAGTTGCTGCAATTTGTTAGACTGGACTTTTGCTTATAAGTGCAATTTCTTCATATAAAGGAATATGCTTGTCTCCTCAGTGTACTAGGTTGATTGTTGTTTCTAAGTGCTATCAAGTCAGTTTTGAGACTCATAGTGACCCTATATAGGGTTTCTGTGGAGCATCTGGTGGGTTTGAATTGCTGACTTTGCAGCTCAAACAGACCTTGTGGTCCAGCACATTATTCTGTATAACCATAGGGATGGGCAGTTTAAACATGGCTTTTAAAAATGGAGGGCTATATGCTGCAATGAGTCTCAATGACTGGTAAGACTGAGGAATTCGCAGTGACCACCTAAGACAGGCAGCGTCCCTTAAACAATCAATAAAAAAGGAGGACTCAGATGCAGACAGCACAGACCTACCTGGTCAGGAGGCCAAGCCCCTGTGGGCCCAAGCGTTGTTGACCGTCCAAACCATAGGCTCGGAGGATCAGACTCTAGCTACCTAGTAGACATAACAAACTGTCCCTCATCTGATTATTCAGTAATGCTTGTTAGTAATCTCATACGTGAGCCCTGGATATCCACAGACAAATGTAAAAACCTCCCCTAAAAGCCGAGACTGTAAATTCCAATAAGCCAAGTCCCGCCCCCATCCAAAAAAAAAAAAAAAAAAAAAAAAAAAGCTAAAGAGGATAGAGAGAAACACTGTAAACTGATGATATATAGCGGGGATAATAATCAATGTAATGAAACAAGCTATATGAATGGTTGAATGTGAAACTGATGATGTGCCCTGTAAACTTTCACTCAATGCAAAATAAAAACATTAAAAAAAAAAAAAAAAAAAATGGAGGGCTATAAAGACATGAAGTGGCTGACATACCAGCTTTCATTGGTGTGCTTAGTTTTAAAATGAGAGGATATGGTACAATCCTCACTGACTAGTTTTCCTCTTTTTCAGATGGGTCTGGTGAGAGGGACTTGGGGATAATGCTGATAGAGTTTTATGATTTCAATTGTGAGTAATTATTAGTAGGATTCATTGTGATTATCAAAATGAATTGTAGAAGATATGTAGTTACAAAGGGGGAGTAGTTATCTTTCATTTCAGGAACAGACAATCCCAGGACCATCATTAAGGAAGAACATGAATGGAGCATGGAACCCTTGCCTGGAAAAATGGTGACAGCAGAGGCTGTGGCATGGAGACAAAGCAGCTATGGACTCTAGGTCTACAGACTGAGTAAGTCTGTGTGCCTACGGGCAGGAGGCGGGCTTGCAGAATGGGCCCCTAGGACATTTAAATGACTCTATTTTGTTTTGTTTTGTATATGGTATCAAATATTTTTTGAGTTGTTCATTAGTGACATTGAAGATAAAAATGGGGCCAGTGCATTTTCAGTTGCACATGTTTTAGCTATATCATGTTAAACGCAAGTATGACTTTACAATTATCTTTATTTAGAAATTGTGCATATTGTTTACAGGTTTCCATTTGACAAGGTATATTGTAATTGTTAGGGGTCTGTGTCAACTCAATTAGGCCAGTTCTGACCCATAGCGACCCTGTATAAGGTTTTCTAGGAACTTGCTGAGCTTGAACCGCTGACCTTATGCTTAGTTCAAATCGACTTTGCAGTCCAGCACATTAACCACAGTGTTTTAACACGACACCCAAAGCAACCAACACACTTTTAATTCATCCTCAGAGTAAAGATTGGTGCTGTATATCCAACATATTTATCTATTCATTACCTTTAATACTAATATCAAAGTCTCCTTAGTAACTTACTTAAGAAATAATTATCTCACAATTGCTTTTAATAATCTACTGCTAAAGTTTTTTTTGACATGTTCTATTAGTTTTTTACATTCTTAGTGTAAAAAAATTTAAGTAGCCTAATTTCAAATTTCCCCATTTTCAGAATTTTTTGTAGCTAGTGTTGGCCATATGCCATACTTCTAAAACGTGAGCTACAAGGATTCAAGGATATGTCTGTTGGCTGGAGTTTTTGAGATTGCTATTGTTTTTCTGATAAAATGGAATGTCCTCCAGTGTAACCTATTTTTGCCAATCCCCATTTCTGCCTATCTAGGACGTTCAGGTGATACCCAGATGTACAATAATTTTATTATGATTTTGAAGACAAAATAAATATACTGAAAAAGATGAAGGAGACTCGGTCCCTGCTGGCTAAGTAGAGCCCCTGCACATATGAAGATGGCCTATGACTCTGCTCCTTCATAATTAGAACATATTATATAGGTCAAAGAAAAAGAGGAAGACCCCCAAAGAGATGGATTGGCCAAGTGGCAGCATCGATGGACTCAAACGTGGCAACAGTAGTGAGGTTGACCCAGGATCGGGCAGTGTTTCGTTCTGCTGTGCATAAGGTTGCTATGAGTCAGTAGCGACTCAATGGCACCTAACAACAACAGCAACAACATATAGGTCAGAAAGAGACTTATGGAGTCCTGGTGTGGTGCTGTGGGTTAATGTGCTAGACCGCAAGGTCTGTTTGAACCTTAAGGTTAGTGGTTCAAGCTTACCAGTTGCTCCTCGGAAACCCTATACAGGGTCACTATGAATAGAAACCAACTTGACGGCACTTAACAACAACATCAATATCCGTTGGTGGCACGATGGGATAAGCAATGGGCTTCTAATTGCAAGATTCAAGGTTCAAACACACCATCCTCTTCATGGGAGAAAGAAAAGACGACCTGCTCTCCTAATGATTAGCAGTCTCTGAAATTCTATGAAGCATTTCTACTCTGTCTTATACAGTTGCTATGAGTTGAGATTGACTCAACGACAGTGGGGGGTTTTTATATAGATAACAGTTAATATAACAAAATCTATTATATTTTACCTCTTTCTGTATTGTCAATATGGACTATTCGTAGATTAAAATTTCTGTGCTTTTCTATCATTGGTCAGGTACTTCCATATCTATAGTCTTTAGTTGTTACTAAGTCTTTGCCCATCCTTAAGACCCCTTTGGTCTTTATTAAAATTCAGATTATTTTAAAACAACAAATGTCCTTCAGTAGATTCTGATTCATGATGAACCTCTGTGTGTCAAAGTAGAACAGTGCTCTCTCTATAGGGTTCACAGTGGCTGATTTTTTCCAGAAGCAGATTTCTGGTCCCCTTTTGTTGAACACATATGGGTGAATTTGAAGTGCCGACCTTTTTTGTAAGCAGGCAAGTTTGATAACTGCTTGCATCACTCAGGTTCTTTGACTTTCCTCTAAATATGAAGTGCCTAACTCTTGGTGAGAAGTTCTGGAGTGGTGCTGTGGATTAATAAACTGACCTGCAAATTCATTGGAACAGCAAGGTGGCAGGTTCAAAGTTCATTAGCCACTCCTCAGAAACCCTATACAGGGTGGCTATGGGTCAGAACCGACTTGACGGCACTTAAAAACAACAACTCATGGTATGGTGCTATAGGATTAGCACTGGACTGCAAACCACAAAGTCAGCAGTTCAAACCCACCAGCTGCTCCTTGTAACCCTATACAGAGTCGCTATGAGTCGGAACTGACTCCATGGCACTTGACAAAAAACAACAAATGAAATCCCCATAGTGCCATCATGACTTTTAGCATTAAATAGTGTAACATTTGGTTTCTGGATTATAGAGGTGTCACACAATAGAAGAACAATCTATGGTGGTAATAAATTGCCATTATAAGTTTGAAAGGAGTTGGCAAAGTACTCGTACTAATGCTTAAGACTATTTCAGGCTCTAAATGCACATTGATTATGACCTTAATGTTGCTCAGGCAGGAAATATTTGCTTACATTTATCCTTTCACAATTGCAAATAGTAGCCAATGAAGAAGAGTGCATATACAAGAAAAAAAAAACTTAAGCAAATAAAATTAAAAACATAAGAAACAAAAACTAATAGGAATAATCATTACACAATGTGGAAAACAAAATGAAATCACTCAAAGCACAAAGTATAAAGAGAAAAGTGACTATTTACAAGAAAAATTATTATGTATATGTGGACTTTAAGTAAATCATTTCCAAGAAAGATCCATTTCTAATATCTGACATTTTGGATATTTTTTAATTTTGCTTCATTTTAAAAATACATCATTGATAAATGTTTTGCTATAGATTTTCCCTCAGCCAACTAATGTATTGATTTATCATCCTATAGCTAATTTTTGATTCCAGTTGTGAAAATGCTCCATGGAATCCTTCCTCAACATGGTAATGAGTTACCTGAACTCCAGCATTGCGAAGTCTAGTGACATACATTAGTCCGTCATCTCTTAAAACGTCATACTGACAGGTGATGAGGTAGGTCAAGGGCAGGTGACGCAATTTGTTGTCATCAGCCAACAGAGGTGCTGCTCTCACATCTAGAAACCCAGGGTATTTGTTTGATAGCTCAGAACTACCGTAAGTTGGATTTTTGTAAACATATCCTTTTTTAAACCTCTCAGGGAGCAAGGAACTCCAATTAACAAACTTGAATAGATGACTTGATTCCTCAGGAATGTGTTGGTTTGAAAGCATGGCTTTTTCAAGTGATCTATCTGTAGTAAAATATTCACTCCAGAACCTGACCATAAATGATTTGGACAGAAATGGAAAATGTGAGTTTTCTTGATATGATGGTGTATCTAAATCAAGAGGCTGAAGGGCAGGATAAATTAAAGACTGGATCTTGAGTTTGGTCTTGACATCTGGGTCATCCAAGAGCTGGAAAATAATTAAGATAACTGTAAAAAAAAATCATTTTAAAACAATAACATAAAATGAGATAGGCGAGACATAAAGTAATAATCTCAAAAACTCTTCAATGATAAATAAAATATACCTTCTCAGCAAACTTACAAGTATTGATAAGTTTCTGTAGCTGTAACCCATTGTTCTTGGAGTCTGAATCATGGTGACACTATGTGTTATAGAATCTCTATAGGGATTTCTTAGCTGCATTCATCACCATGGAGACTAACAGGCTTTTCTTCCCTGAGAGCAACCCATTTGTACCACCCAGGGACCTTTTCTGTAACTGTTGTTGTTAAGTGCTGGTGAGTCAGTCCGACTCATAGTCACTGTGTATAGAGTTTCTGAGGAGCGGTTGATGGATTTGAACTTCCGACCTTATGATTAGCAGACCACTTTATCCTTACCAAGACTCCAGAGGGCGTCCTTCCAGTGTGCCGGGGCTGGTAGGCCTAAAGTGTTCCAGATGAGCGGAGAGCACAGAGGTACGGGCAAGAGGCGAACAACCTGGCTGGTTCCCACAGGCCAAAGAGAGCAGGCTGCAGCCAGGAGCTCAGAAGCAGTGTGTTTCTCACTGAGCCACACCTAAAGCAAGTGCGGAATCAGCCACTGGTAAATGGCCAGAATACAGGTGGCCTTGATGCTGCTGTCCGCATTCACACAGAACGAGTGTCATGGCATAGCCCTACAGGAGCGCAGGGACAACCTTAGAGGCTGAGCAGATCAGCAGCTCTGTGCGTGCACCGGGCGTGGTAGGAGAGGCAGTTCTGAGAGATTCTCTGGATGGCACCCTGCATGGAGCAGGAGGACAGCCTGAGGCCCAGGCAGTGATACCTATAGACTCGCGGGCCAGGTCAGAAACCCGATGGAGCCTCAAGCACCCCAACCACACGGCGATCCTTAGACGCTGGCTGCTTCTTTTTAATAAAAAGATGCTTTTAATTTTCAAAAAATCATCTTTCCTATTTTTCTCATGTGTGATGCAAAAGGATCTAATCAATAACTAAAAAAGGTTAATGCCACCCGTTCTAATAAAAGTGACAAATAAAAGAACCACATAATCCTTGACTTGTTTTGTTGTTGTTGACAATACAGGATAATGCACTGGGCCACAAGGTTGGTTTGAACCTCAAGGTGGGTAGTTCAAACTCACCAGCCGCTCCTCGGAAACACTGTATGAGTCGGAAATGACTCAAAGGTACTTAACAACAACAATATACCAATAAGACTCCTGATGTGGTGCTGTAGGATGACCACTGGATTGCGAACTATAAGGTCAGTGGTTCAAACCCACCAGCCGTTCCTCGGAAATCATATACAGGATCACCATGGGTGGGAACCGACTCGATGGCTCTTAACAACAACAGTTACTCCCTGGCATAAAGAACTGGTGATCTGCTTCTGTAATGATTATAGCCAAGAAACCCCCCACGGGGGTGTTCCACATTTTACATGGTGTGACTCTAAGTCATAAATGATTCAATGACACTTAACAGAGACATACCAATAAATTTTGCTATAGAGAGGAAGGCCCAGCTAATAAGGATTTCTGTTGACTGGTTCTTACATGATGTTTGGTGGTTTGTGTATGCTTTCTATGTGAATGATTCTGTTAGCATTACCCTTACCTGTATCAAGCCTAAAGTGTTAATGATACATGTAAAGCTTAGTGGTTTTCAGAGAGGAGTTCACACACACTAGATTAGGCAAGAAAAATACTTGTTTATAAGTTGGAATGAAATATTAGAGGATAGTTTTAATTTTTAAAAACATATCTTTAAAATGCAATTTGTATGTATGTATATGTTATAAACTTAGACATTTTACATATGAATACAGATCTTATTGGATAAGCTTCAAATATTTCCACAGTTTGAAACTATCCTACATTTGATTGGTATAAACAAGTCTTTTTAAAAAATTCTCAGGAAACAAGGAACTTCAATTAACACACTTGAATAGATTATATGATTCCACAGAATATGTTGGTTAGAAAGTATAGCTTTATGTGGGGTTTCTTTATATATTAGATATCATGGTCACAATAAAGCACTGTGGACATTTCTGATGCCACTGTAAAGATTACTAAAATTGCCAGATATTTCTACTAAAATTAACTCATGTATTCTAAATAACTTTAAAGTTGAACAGGTCCATTTTGCCTTATAGATAAAGAAATTAACTCATAGAATGATCAAGTGGCATTGTCAAGATAACACCTGGAAATTACTTCATCTCAAGAAAACCCAAGTCTCCTCCTGTTAAATCTAGTATTCATTCTGTTATGTCATAAGACTCGTAGCAATGACAAGAAATCTACTTCTGTGAAGGTTCAAATACATGTTATATATTGTAATTGGAATGAAGTTTAACAATAACATCCTTTCCTTTTGAGACTATTGTTTTCAAGAGTCTAGTAGTCAAGACATTTTTAATGTGAAATATTTATAAATATAACCAACAAAGTAATTAACAGCAACCTTTAAAATTGCTTTAAATCCATGGTTTGTAATTAGAGTAATAAACTCTTAACTTCTACATCGGTAATGCATAGCTTCCTTTCTTGACTTCCACTACTACATGGGAAAACTTGCTAGGTTTTAAATATTCAGTAGCAGTTTGTTTCTTTGCTCTTAAAAATAAAACCCATTTTATGTATGATCAAGGTGAAAAGGATGATTTATTACTAGTTTAATACTACTATTATTAAATGACAGATAAGAATATGGTTTCATATGTGCATAAAAAGAAATCATTTGAACATTTTATAGCTTTACCTTTTGGCAAACTTTACAAGTAATGTAAACCTGATAATTTAATTAAAATAGTATGGTTATTTTGGTAATAGAGACATTGCTAACCAGTTCTGAGTACTCTGTTAAAGATTATTGATTCCATATGAACCTCCATTAGCATGGTAAAGTTATTGTCTGGCCTTATATATGTATTCCCTCATTCAACTGAAAGAATATTTTACTGGCATAATTTCAAACCAATTACTAAAATTATCATTTCGTTGGTGGTGGTGGTGTGCTATAGAGTCAGTTCCGATTCATAGAGGCCTTCCCCACCCCCACCCCCACACACACAGGGTTTCCGAGGTTGTAAATCTTTATGGGAGCAGAAAACCTCATGTTTCTTCCATGGAACAGCTGGTAGTTTCAAACTGCTGACCTTGAGGTTAGCAGTCTGACTCATAGCCACTACGCTCCTTCGTTAGGGAAGAAAAAAAGAAAAAACTGGCAGGAGCAGAGATAGTAGACATTCTGACATTTTAAGCCTTTCTTTTCATTATACTTTTATCATTTCTCAAATTAATTACTTTATTATACTTACATTTGTATTTTAATATATGCATTCAATATGTTTGCAAGTAGAATACTTTTTGAAAACATAATGAGTATCATACCTGTTGAGCTAAGGCTGCTGCTAAATTCCCCCCTGCACTACCTCCTGAAATTCCAATTCTCTCAGGATTCACACCATATTCTGCAAGTACTTTTTTGCGTAAGAACCACCTTAAGGCATTATATGCATCTTCAAATTGAATTGGGAAATGGTACTTTGGTGCTAATCTGTAGCTGTGGAGAGAAAATAGGCATTTTTATGTCATTTGTTTTATTTTCTTACTTTTTATTAAAGCATGCGACACATCAGCTACTCCTCAGAAACCCTACACAGGGTCGCTATGAGATGGAACCCACTTAACAGCACTTAACAACAACACATGTGTTGCCACCAATTAGAATTAACCCATTAGCAAGTGTTTGTTCTTGTTTTAATTATTTATACATGGCAGAATTGTACTTATAAGCATGTTGTTGTTGTTGTTGTTAAGTGTCGTCTACTGGGTTCCAACTCAGTGACCCTATATAGGGTTTCCAAGAAGCTTCTAGTGAGTTTGAATTGCTGACCTTCCAGTTCAAACTGACCTTGTAGTACATTGCTTATCCTACAACGTCATACCAGGACGCCATCATAAGCATACAACTTTATTAATTTTCAACTGAAAACAGACATGTTGTTGTTGTTAAGCGTCAGAGAATTGGTTCCAATTCATATGACCCTGTAGAGAGTTTCTGAAGAGCAGCTGGTCAGTTTGAACCATCGATCTTAAGGTCTACCATACAGCCATACAGCCAGCAAAAAGATAACAAAAGAGAACATTGTCAACACCTCAGAAACCTCTCATATAATCCCTCATTATTACTCTTCAATTTTGCCTGTTTTTAATCATTAAATAAATAGAATCGTATGGCCTGTACTCTTTGTATCTAGATTTGTTTGATCACCATAATGTGTTTGAGACCCTGTGGTCCAGTGCTTATCCTAGACTGCCATATGTTGTTTACTGTTTGTTTTGGTGAATCACATACAGATTTATGTCTTTTAATGCTATTTGACTTTCCATTTTAAAATTAATAATTGGAATGCAAATCTTAGGGTAAGCTTGTTGGTGGTAGTAGTGGTTATGTGCCCCAACATTAGTTCTTATTCATATTGAACCTGTATAGGGTTTCTGAGCCTGTAAATCTTTATGGGAACAGAAATTCTCATGTTTCTTCCGTGGAACTTCTGGTAGTTTTGAACTGCTGACCATGAGATTAGCAGCCCAATTCATAACCACTGTGCTCCCAGAGTTCCTTTAGGGTAAGCTTAGATATTCTAATTACTTTTTTAATTAAAAAAATTATTTTTAATTACTTTAACAATGTTATTCTAATTCTAATTACTAAATATGAAGCCATGGCTAAACAGTGCCTTATTTTGAACATGACTGTGTTTTAACATTACAGTAATTATTTCACTTGATAAGTTTTTATGACAATGCTATTTTTTAACTTTTCCTTCATTGGAATAGGTACTCAAAGCTTTAACATGATTTCTAACCCAACCTTATTTTCAGTCTTCCTCTAAGAATTATTTTCTAAAGTTAATTATTGCTCTATGCCACAATTTTACACTTAATTCATTGACTTTGCTTATTTATTTAATTTGATAATAAATAGTAATATATAGGCTTATCAAATGACAAAACCCTGACCTCAGTTCATTTCCAGAGTGCTAGCACATAATCTTTATAATAACTTTCAGTTAATTATTTATGAAGCACTTTTATAGATTGTCTTCCTACTCTAGGATAGTCATTCTTAAGTGTAATGAAAGTTAAGAATTGAAAGGAAATCCAGCAATGTAATTACGCCCATGAATGACACAGCTTGAATACTTATGAAAACTCTTTCTTCCAGTTTTTCAAACCTGCCTAAATAACACAAGCACAGAGAACTTTTTGCTTATTTGTTTCTCCACCTCTACTTAGAGTCTGGCCTTTGTCTCATCTGTGACTCATGTATTTTTGGAATAACAATGCATGCACTAGGCAAGGAACCTGAGAGAGTCTAGATATGCAAGATCTTAAAATTAACCAACAGCACTCTTACTTGGTTGATATGACAACAGCATCAAGTCTGTCTGCTGTCCATCTCGACAGCATGTCACAATTATGAAAAGCTGAAATAAAAGAAATAAAAGCATGATGTTAGTTGTGTTGCTGTTAAGTGCTGTGGAGTCAGTTCCAACTAATAGTGATCCTGTATAGGGTTTCCCAGGAGAAGCTGATGGATTTGAACTACCAATCTCGTGGTTAGTAGTCCAGTGCTTAACCAGGATGTTAATGAGAATGTACAAATGAAGAGAAGAATTTTTTTTTCACTTAAATTCTAGTATACTTGTTTTTTTATTATCATAAGTTTTCTATCTACCAGTAGTGTCACTAGGATTGGTGATCCCACAGATACTGATGATCCCCCTTTACTACTAGTCCATACCCAAATCCACTGCCATCAGTCATCTCTGACTCATAGTCATCCTTTACAAGTTTCTGAGACTATAAACCTTTAAAAAAGCAGACAGTTTTTGTTTCATCTTTCTACTTCCGAGTGACTTGTGGGTTTGAACTACTGACCTTGTAGTTATCAGTCCAGTGCTTATCTTACTGTTTTACCAGGACTAGTCCATATAGAAAGCTTAATAATGTTAATTATCAATTCCAGTCATAGAATAAGACTTGATAGATACAGTTGTAAATTACTTAAATATAATATTTCTTAGATTATATGAAAACTAAATTCTCTGGAATCCCTGTACAGGGCCACTATGAGTAAGAACCAACTCAATGGCACTTAACGATACACCAACAACAGCAAGGATATTTTTATTGAAAATGATAAATTTCTGCTGAAACACAGTCATTTTGATGTCATCCCATCGGCCAGAATGGCCTGACATGGTCTGCCACCAGTCCCATGTTCAAATGCTAAGGAAACACATTTAACACCTGAGTTATCCATGAGAAAACCACCCAGGGTAAACTCAGTGAATTTGAGTTTCTCAGTGAACCTCCTTATTGCCTTTTGTCCCCTTTCTCTTTTGGCTTGTATATTTCATAATTGGTACTTCTAGGCTTGCTTTAATCTCAGCTACCTTGTCCAGCCTTAACTACATTGCTGAAAGATGCATTCATCTGGCTCTGACTTAGTTGATTAGTAAACAAATATGAAAGGCTCAGCCCTGACTTGACCAGTGTTTTTTTCTTGTCTTGGAGGAAGATTCAATATTTTCTATTTCAACCCTCCTCCCCACATCCAATTTTTTACCCATGTCTTAAATCTGCTTCCTCTTAATCCATTGGTTTGTTCCTCCATAAATCGATACCCTCAGCCCATCTATTTCCTTAATGTATTCCTGTTTATTGTCTTAATTTAATTCATCAGTCTTCCAAATTGTTCATGTCTCTCTAAATAAAAAATAAAATAAAATGTTCTTACTAAGCTTTCCTTTTGATCTCTTTCTATCTATTACTCTACTGTCTATTCCTGGTATGGCCCTGTGGGATAATGCGCTGGACAGCAAGGTCAATTTGAACCACAAAGTTAATAGTTCAAACTCACCAGTCATGCCTTGGAAACCCTATGTAGAATAGCACATCAAGAAGTCCTGTAATAACAAGTGAGAAAAAAGAGAAAATAGAAAACTATGTGTTCTTAGAGCAGGAGTGGGGAACCTTTTTTCTATCAAAACTTCTAACATTATTCACGGGCCATACAAAATTATCAACTTAAATTTTTTCCTGCTACTTTTGATGAAACAATTAATTCACCCCTAACGTGATGACTAGAAGTTCGGTTGTCTTGACAGGGCCAGACCAAATAATTTTGAGGGTTTATATGGTGTACGGAATGATCATTCTCCACCTCTGTCTTAGAGTGATTGCAAAAAATATGAAAACTTTGATTTTCTCATCTCTGCTTAGGTTGTTAAGACAAGCGGTTATGAAAGACATTGATATGAACCTTCTAACCCCCTCTCAAATCTACTACTATTAAGTGAATTTTGATTCTGTGACCTTACATAGAACAGAAAAGTATTGTTTTTCAGGATTTCCTAGATTATAAATCTTTACAGGACCAGACAGCCTCCTCTTTCTCCCGTGTAAAGTCTGGTGGGTTTGAACGCACTGACCTTTTGGTTAGCAGCCCAATGTTTAACCCACAACTCCACCAGAGATCCTTCTCTGTTGTTGTGAAGTGTCATTGAGACAATTCTGACTCACAGTGACCCTCTATAAGGTTTTCTAGGAGCAGCTGGTGGGTTTGAACCACTGACCTAGCAGGTCAGTGCTTATCCTACAGCTCCAGACCAGGACAAAGTAAAAATCTTGCCAGGAGAAGAAAGCAAGGGAAAGAAATTTTAGTATAATATCAAAAGGTCATTGTACTTAGAGCCTCCAGCCTGAAACTGAACTGACTCCCAGAAAACTACTTTCAGTAAAACAATAGTCAGATCTATAAAGTTAAAATAACACCAGGGAGAAATATACTCATCAGTACAATCAATTAAAGGTCATTGAAAGGATTGCATTTTCCCAAAGCTAAGTTCAGAAGACAGGAAGGGACAGGGAGGAAGTGAGAAGAGTGCTGTTACTTTGAGGGATTGCAATGAATATCATGAAACAAAATGGTATAAATTGATTAATGGAAAATTAATTTATTTTGTAAACTTTCACCTAAACTACAACAAAAAGTTATTTTAAAATAAAGATTTATGTTGTTGTTGTTATGTGCCATGGAGTCAGTTCTGACTCATAGCGACCCTGCATAGGGTTTCTGAGGCTGTAAATCTTTACGGGAGCAGAAAGTCTCATCTTTCTCCCGCAGAACAGCTGGTAGTTTCGAACTGCTGACCTTGCAGTTCGCAGCCCGATTCATAACCACTACGCTACCAGAGCTCCTTGATTTATAGTAATCTAAAATTTTTGGAGTCCTGGTGTGGCGCTGTGGACTGATGTGTCAGACTGCAAAGTCATTTGAACTACTAGGTAGGTGGTTCAAGTTCACCAGCTGCTCCTTGGAAACCCTACACAGGGTCGCTATCAGGCAGAATCGATTCGATGACACTTCACAAAAGCAACAAATTTTTTTTCAAATTATTTCAGTGACATAGAGTTTACAAAGTGTCCACTTACCAGCACTTCCCAAACACCAGCCACCACCGTGAATGTAAAACAGTCCCCTTCTTAATTCTTCTGATTTTCTCTTTGGCACATACACACGCACAGGAATGTTATTAAATGTTGTCTCGGTCACAGTCACATTTTCATCTGAGATTACTGGGACTTCACTAAAGCTCATAGCGATTATTAAGGTTTCCATGCAGTGTTTAATCCCCAGAAGCTCAACAAATGTAGCCTAAAAGTGAAATCAAAATTTCAAATTTCAACAACAACAAAACATTACGGACACATAAGTACCTGTTGGATGTAGCATCAGGAGCTTTTGAGTTGGTTCTGATAGTAACCCTGTACACAATAGAATGAAACGCTTCCCAGTCCTCCACTATCCTCAAACATTGCAATGTTTGAACCCATTGATGCAGCCACTATGGCAATCCAACTCTTTGAGGGTCTTCTTTTTCGTTGACATGCTACCAAGCATGATGTCCATCTCCAGAGACTGTTTTCTCCAGATAACATGTACAAAGCGCATGAAACCAAGCCTAGCCAGTCATGATTCAAGAAGCACTCTGACTGTTTTTCTACCAAGAAATTTATTTGTTCCTCTGTTAGTTCATGGGGATTCACTATTATTTGCCAAAGGAACTCTTTTTCAGTATTCCTTATCCATTATCCAGCTTTCTCATGCATATGAGGTGATTGAAAACACCATGGCTAGGGTCAGGCAGACCTAAGTCCTCAAAGTGATATAAGTATATATAAACTTCCAATAGGCACAAATGAAATGAACTAATTTCTCACATATCTTCTTTGTTTTTTTCAGAAGAATCAGAATTATAGAAGTTTTCGCCTAGTATAGGAGTACTGGTGTGCTACTGTGAGCTAATGCATCAGACTGCAAAGTCATTTCAACTGTAAAGTTGCTGGTTCAATCTCACCAGCTGCTCCTTGGAAAACTTATACAGGGTTGCTATGGGTCAGAATTGACTCCACAACACTTAACAACAACAATATAGTTGTAAAACGGAGGGTAAACATTCATTTAGTTTGGACGTGTCAGGTTCTCTACTAAGTATTAAGATTACACAGGTGAACAAGAAAAATACCTCCCACCTCCACGATATTTTCAGATCTGTGGAAATGAGTGTCTTTTCTTCAAAATTATTATAATCCTGTTTATTGTATTCGGATGGCCCTTCTTTTTATTTTTTTTCTTCTCGAAATGAGTAGGGACTTTATGGTCTTTCCTTTACTTTTTACTACATACTGAAGTGAGTAGGGACTGTATGACCTTTCTTTTTACTTTTTACTACTTGCTGGAGTAAGAAGTACGTGCACCTTAGAAATCTGAAGTAGCCAACCGGGTAAGGGAAAAGACTGTGTGGTCTAAGCCTTAGCCAATGGGGTGAGACATAGTCGTAAGACTTGTGTCAGTGGACTGCCCACTTGTGTGTGCTCACTGGCCTGTTCTTGTACAGTTACGTGCATACCCCCTTCTGCAGAAGTAAATTTTGCCTTGCTGAGATAATTTAGTCTCACTGAGTGTCTTTTTGTGCAACATCTGGATTCATTTCTAACAATTTGTGGGCCCGTCTGGGATTTCCCATTCTCTTTGGGAAGCAGCTTGAGCCTTCTCCGCTACGGGAGACACATCCTGCTGCCTAGTTGCGGCAGCCCTTGGGCAAGATAGGCTGAAATCTCCCAAGAAGCAGATAAATCTGGACTCCTTGGCAATGTGGGTGAATGGCCTTCACAAGCACCACCACGTGGCAACCAGGTAACTCTGTGCATGGACCAAGGTGGGAAAAACCGCTGGTACAGCCAATACTTCCTTGGTGGTTAGGACATCCCGGAGGCTGTGTGTATGAATAAAACGTGCCCTGGGAACGAAGTGAGTGTGGAGTCCCAATCTGCGGTTCTGTGGTAACCTCATATGACTTAGGGCAGTATCCAGTAGAGGATTTGATCTAAGTTGGGTCTTTATTCCAACATGCCAATGCTTAAAGGTTTCCAATGTTCCTGCGAGGAAAGCAACTGGAGATGGACAAACCGAAAGTAAAAGAGTGTAAGAAACCTTCAAGTATAGAAGTGTGTGTGTGTGGGGGCGCGTTGAGCCTCTTTGTAGCCAGGATGGGAAATAACACTAGTAAAATAATCTCTAGAGAAAATGAAAACAAAGACAAAACTCCCCCTAATAGTCTATTAGGATTAATGATAAAGTGAAGGAGCTCTGGTAGCATAATGGTAATGAATCGGGCTGCTAACCTCAAGGAGGCAGTTCAAAACTACAAGCGGTTCTGTGGGAGAAAGATGAAGCGTTCTGCTCCCATAAATATTTACGACCCTGTGCAGGGTCGCTATGAGTCGGAACTAATTCCACGGTACTTAACAACAACAACAACAACATTGGAATGATAGTGCATGAGCTAAAGGGAAAAAGAAATAATAAATGATAAGATACTGTTGTTTCATTTGGACACAGGAACCAATTCTTAAACTATCTGTCTTTTGGCCTAAATTTGGCTCAGAGAGGACTGGGTATGTCAACTGTTAGTTGAATATGTTAATGACAAAAGTCCTGTCTCTCAGGAGGAAATAGATTTGCCCTATGCTGGAGATGGTGTCCTTTTGTCCTATTTGCACTAAAGACAATGTTAGGCCCCCTAGTGGCCTAATCAAGTAGGAGACCCCAAAAAGATCATCAGGACTCGAGTTTGATGCAAAAGCAAGAGGTTTATTTGCCAACGCGCTGGGGTCCACCTTCACTCACACAAGCAGGAGACGAAGGCGACCCCGACTCACTATACACACAAGTTTTTATAGGGTTTCAGGGGGCATAATTGCACAGTACCATAGATACAGTTTTTGATTGGTTAACAATTGGCAAAGTATGAGATGTTACAGTTTAATTGGTCAGTACTGGTGGTCTTTCTTAGGCTAGGGCAATGGAAAACATCTGTCATCTGGCCTTGGGTTGTTCTGTCTATTACTTATCTATGGCTCGCTGTTGCTAGGGGTGAAAGGATATTCTAAGGCAACATGAGCTGATTTAGCACGTTCCTGGAACAGGAGGACGTGTTCAGGCTAATGTACAGAATGGAGATTGACCTTGTCTCTGGAGGGAACTAAACACTGAGGCCTTCTATCAAAAATGCTTCTTGAAGCCTGACTAAAGTTTGGTCAAGTAGCTAGGCAAAATCAGTTAGGGCCTTACAACAAGGACTAACAAAGCAGATAAAGAAAAACTTTCTTCCCCTTGGGACGCCCTTTTCTCTCTATGCCCACCTTAAGATCTTGCCCTTCCTCCTACACCCCAGACTCGCAACCCTGAGCCTTCTCCCCCAAGCCTGCTCTCCCTGCAGAGCCCAATTTTCCCTCACTAGTACAATACCCTTCCCCGCAGAGACTTAGGAAAAAACTTACACAGTGCCAAAATGATATACAAAACCTTCCCTTTACCCCTCCCCACCAAGAATTACCCTGAATCCCTTTTTTCTTCTTAGAAAAGACCCCTTAGGAGGAGGAGAAATTGGATTCATCGCTGCACCCCTAACTGATTCAGAGGACTGAAAAAAAAGGGGGGGGGGGCTAAAACCACTCCTTAATGATCCCTATGTGGGCCGCTGATCAGGTACGCCAATTCCTAGGCCCCTGAATATACACCTGTTCAGAACTTAAGTCAATATTAGGAATCTTAGTCTCAGGAGAAGAAAGAGCCATGATTCGTAGGGCAGTGATGGCTGCATGGGAATGCGAACTTCCCACCAGGCCAGACATCCCAGCCACTGATGCTAAGTTCCCCAACCAAGACCCCCAGTGGGAAAATAATGTAACAGCCCATAGGGCCCACATGAAAGCCCTTAGGAAGATAATAATTAAAGGCATGCGAGAATCGATTCCCTGGTCGCAAAATATCTCTAAGGTTTTTGATGCACAGTAGGGAAAAGATGAAGGACCTGCAGAGTTTTTAGACAGACTTTAAAAAAAAAGGCAAATGAGAATATACATCGGGTTAGACCCAGGAGTTCTCCAAGGAATTCAAAGCAAGAAACCAAATAGCTGCAAGGTTTGAATCTGTATTATTCTGGTGGTCATCCATTAACAAAAATCTGGACTGGATTAATTACATCTATTATAATTAACAAAGATTTGTGAACTATACCAGAGATGCAATAAAAGGAATAGCAGAGCAATTAGGACCATGTGTTATAATTGGAGTCCAATGTTGTACTTTCATTCCCATTAAGGATACCATTACCAAAGCATTACAAGGGCTGACCACCTTAGCTAATGAAAATTCAGGCATAGATAACCCCTTTTCTAGTCTCATGGACCAATGGTTCGGAAAACGGAAGATGCCTATGACTTTGGTCCTCACTTCTGTAATTACAGTATTTGGCATATTAACACTAATGGGATGTTGTATTATACCTTGTATAAAAGGATTAGTTCTAAAACTTATAGAAACAGCCTTATTCAAACAACCCCCACCTCCATACCAAAATACTTAGAAACATGCAAACACCAAAGTCAACGTCTCCTTGCAGAGTTTGAAGACAAGAATGAAGTCTAATGAAGAAAAGGGGGGAATTGTGGGAATGAGTGTCTTTTTTTTCAACATTATTATAATCCTGTTTACTGTATTCGGGTAAACCTTCTTTTTCTTTTTTTCTTCCGGAAGTGAGTAGGCACTTTATGATCTTTCTTTTACTTTTTACTACTTACTGAAGTGAGTAGGGACTGTACAACCTTTCTTTTTACTTTTCACTACTTGCTGAAGTGACTAAGAACAATGTGTGCCTTAGAAATTTGAAGTAGCTAATCATGTAAGGGATAAGACTGTGTGGTCAAAGCCCTAGCCAATGGGGTGAGACACAGTCTTAACACTTGAACCAGGAATAAAAACCTGAGTGGACTGCCTGCTTGGTGTGCTCGCTGGCCTGTTCCTGTACAGCTACACACACACACCCTTCTTGCCAAGGTAATTTAGTCTCACCGAGTGTCTGTTTGTGTAACATGGGGATTCATTTCTAACAGAGTGATGTTGGAAACCCATATAAACTAACAGTTACAAATAATATATATGCTATTATTCAGGTCTATGCAAGGTTACTTTGGGAGCATAGGGCAGCTAATTGCAAAAGCTACCTGGGAGTAAAACATGCTTTCAAAAAACAGAAAGTGCAATTTCCAGACTTGGAAGTAAGACGTGTTCTTAAGAATTTAACTAAACAAATAATAAGTAGAAAAATACCTTCCTGCTTGAGTCTGTGGTTTAGATTGGATATGGGAAGGATCTGTTGATATAGCTCAGTATAACTAGGAGCACATGTTGTTGTTGTTAAGTGCCGTCAAGTCAGTTCCAACCCATAGCAACCCTGTGTAGGGTTTCCAAGGAGTGACTGGTGAGCTTGAACCACTGACCTTGTAATTCAAACAGCTTTGCAGTCTGGCTCATTAACCCACAGCACCACAGGGCTGAGAGTAAAAGGACTGGGTAGGAGCAAAAGGAAATGCAGCTGTAATCCCTGTATCCTGACCTTTTACTCTACAAATCAGTGTTCTAAGAACTATAGATGTATTGTTGTATTAATCTCAATAATTTTAGTGAGTCAACTACAAATTAGGTATGCAATGTTATCACATCCATTTCAGAAATGAGGAAAATAACCTCAGGGAGTTTAAATAAATAGCTCAGCTTTTCACAAGTAATAAGTAATATTTACTAAGATAATATATCTAGCAGTCTGATTTTTGGTCTAATGTTCATAGCATAATCCTTCAATAAAACTACATACTCTAAGATTGCCAGTCATTTGGAGAAAGCTGGCTAAACTCATGAGAAATAAAGTTAAATCAAGAGACTAGTTTACACACATCCAGATAATCCAGGAATGACAAAAACATTAAAATAATTTTTTAAATCTGTATTATTTGAGAGATCTGAAAATATATTCCACTCATAAATCATGGATAGGATGCAAGACAAAGTTACCAGAAAAAAGAAAAACTAATCAATTAGAAAAATGATTTCTTAAATCCCTGTTCAAAAGTAATTAATGGAATAATCTAAAGGAACAAATACTAAGGACATCTTTCAAATTGCAGACCAAAAAGAGAAAATAAGAGAAAAAAATGTTTCCTTCCTTAAACTGTTAAATAGCTTTATATCCCACATGTAAATTAAAACACACAACCAGTTCCATAAAGTGCTGTATGATAAAAACCTCTAGGTTTTCCAAACTGAATTGCAACACTTACTCCATTGATCCCAAATGTCTCATACAATTTCTTGTACTTCAGATTATCTGGCATCTGGGACTTTGGCACTTGTTATTGTAGCTAGTTGGACATTTTTTTCTCAACACTTGTGGTGACTGGTTGTTTTTTAACTAGTCACCACAAGTGTTGAAGGAAAAATCTGTTCAACCTTTGGTCTCCAGACTGATGTTTTTTCTTCTGAAAGACTTTCTCTGACCATAAATACAACAGCCCAATCCAAGCTATTCTTTTCACTCTGTTTATCTGCAAGGCATTCACATGGTCTGAAATAATGCATGTTTTTCAGTTTGAATTTTTGTATTTCTCTATCACTAGAACATTAGTTCCATGGTGGTATTGTCCTTGTGTGCCTAATAGGTTTCAACAGATAGTTGAATTGTTGACTAAATGAGCAATCTGAGAATTATGTGATACACCTGATATAAACACTAAAAATAGATAATAGAAAAATGGAAGAGATAATATAATAAAGGAGCTCTGGTAGCGTAGTGGTTACGAGTTGGGCTGCCAACCTCAAGGTCAGCAGTTCAAAACTACCAGCGGTTGTGCGGGAGAAAGATGAAGCTTTCTGCTCCTGAAAAGATTTACAGCCTTGGAAACCCTGTGCAGGGTCACTATGAGTCAGAACCAACTCCATGGTACTTAGCGACAACAACAATGTAATAAAAGAAGTAATATGAAAACATTCCCGTGGCACTTGAGAGAATGACATATTTTCTACAAGCTACCTTTCCATTTCTTGTTATTTTTGTTGTTACGTGCCTTTGAGTAAATACCAACTCCTATCAACCTGTACAGTGTTTCAGAGACTGTAAATCTTTGTGGGAGAGGCTTGTGGACTCAAAATGCTTACCATGACCCTCTTACCTATACAGCACTTACTACTATAGTCTGAAACTAAGACTACATAGATTTGTAACCTGTATAGTACTGTACAATCAGATAATCATATTTATTTGTGAATTTAAATATCAGTCAATACATAAGACGAGAACTTTACACAAGCACACGTTCATGATATAAATACTACCTGCAAGAAGTATTTTTTTGTGAAACCTACTCAAATACCTCCTTGATCGTTATTGATATTTAAAAATATGATTCTTGTGTATAAAATGAAAACAGTAACAACAAAAAGAAATAGGTAAGCATAGTTTGAATATTACAAAGATAAAGGCTGCAGCATTTACTTAAAATATAAATAAATAACACAAAATAACCAAGGAACAGAATCCTGACAAATTTAGTTCTCTATGTCCAATGGGTAAACATATAAATATATATTCATATATATCCATAAAATTGTACACTTACCAAATTTAAAAGAGTTTTCACATGTGTATTCAACCACATTATTCTCCATGGCTCTTCAAAATTATCCGGGAGTGGTATATAAACATAATATGCTATAAGGACCCCCACAATCAGAAGGTACAAGGATTTTCTTTGCATGCTTTAGCTCTTTGGTACTGCCTTCATTGGTAACACAGAAATTAATTTGATATGCTAGAGCAGGGCACTTTAATACTCTGGTGTGTTTCAGTTACACCTAGGAGCATATCTTACTTTTTGAGTACAGAATTGCTCACTTAGTTTTAAGATTGGCATAATCAAGTTAAAATTTCATTGGCTGTCCAGACTGAGCAAAAGTCCAAGGTCCAGTAAGTAATATGAAACTTAAGCAGGCTGTATCAAATACCACACTCTTTTATAACTACTGAACAAGCAAGCAAGTAGTGAGCAATAACTGGGCAAATAATGGTTTAGTGATAACAAAACTATCTACAGAACACATAATCCTCAATCTAAGTTACAATGGGGAAAACAAATGTATATTATTTATAAATTCTGAGAAAATAATCACAATCTCTGCATTTACAGAATTTGCATTGTCATGCAGAACATGAACTATTCTATCAATACAGTCAGATAATTTTTAAATATCAGGGTTAAATAATACTAACAATAATGATAGAAACAATAGTAAACAAGCATTAATCATTTGCTCTGTGATCTAGGCACATGGCTAAGTGATCTACGTAAACAAAATCTAAATTAGTCAAAGCAATAATTCTATGAGAGGAATATTATTTTTCCCATGAATGAGTAAAGTGAGTTTTGAAAGGTTAAATAACATGGCCAATATCATAAAATTTTATGTATTGGAACTAGAAAGAAAGAATCAGATGGCTAAAGGTATGCAGGGAAAAACATATTTTAAACAACTTATATTTTCTGTCACACACACACACACCCCACACAAGAATATATATTTGAAAATGTTGAAAAGGATATAACAGTAACTTACATTCTTGCATTGCAAAGATCACCACTGTTATGTTGATGTTGTTAGTACTCTTAGGTTCTATGTCATAGTGCCACTGTATAGGGTTTTCAAGGAGCAACTGGTGAGTTTGAACAAACTGAGCTTGTGGGCACACCACTGTTTATACCTTAATGTAAATCCTATCACATCTTTTTTTCCCCCACACACATATATAAACCCACTGCCATTGAGTCAATTCTGACCCACGGTGACCCTGTATAGGGTTTCTGAGGCTGTAAATCTTTACAGGGGTAGAAGGCCTTATTTTTCTCTTTCAAAGTGGCTGGTAGGTTTGAACTGCCAAACTTATGGTTATCAGTCTGGTGCTTACCTTACAGTGCCACCAAGGCTGCTTACACACTTATAGAGCTATGCCATTTGGACATTCATCCATTAGTCTTTGAGAATTTTTCTGAAAAACTGTATCCAACTATCCGGTATTTTTCCTGCCTACAACCTGAAGTCCTGGTAGGATAGGCACTGGATAGTTAAACTGCAAGGTCCGTGGTTCAAACCTACCAGTTGTTCCTCGACACCTTCTACAGGCTCATTATGAAACAGAACTGACTTGATGACACTTAACAACAACAAAACTGGGGTTAGCAGTTTTGTTTTTAAAATTTTTTATTGTGAATTGAGTAAACGTTTACTAAGAAAATCATTAGTTTTACTCAACAATCATACACTCTGTTTCATCTCAATGATTACAGTCCCTTCCTTTTAACAACGTTTATCCCACTTCCTCCAAGTGGTTTCAATTCCCATTCCACCCTCCTTCCTATCCCTTCCCAACTTTGTCCTTAGACAAATGTTACCCTTTTCATCTTGAATTGGCCGTTCCATGGTGTGCATAACTTAGTAGTGTTTTTTTTCCCTGTATACTTATCCACCACTTTGTAGAACTAGATTTACAAGGATGAGTTCTGTTCTAAACCTGAAGGATGGTCAAGGGCCATAATCTCAGGGTAATCAAGTCTCCTTCTGACTAGTGATTCCAATCTATTTCCATAATTTTGAATTTTGATCCACATTTGTCCCCACTTTATCTGGGACCTTCTAATGTGATCCCTTTCAGAGTAGTTGATAATGATAGCTGGCCACCATATAATACTTTTTGTCTTGATTCTGATGTTTACATGTTCCATTGGAGTAGTTGATTCCAAGCATCTTCAAATATTCATCACTCTTCCTTCTTCTGCACATGGGGAGACCTTAAATGGCAGGTCACTCATGAGTTTGTAATATCTCAGTTGCTATTCACCAAAGTAGGAGGTAGAACACTCTCCTTGTGGATTACACCATGCCAAGTTTCCATGATATCCCATCATACTATGGTCCTGACCACCCCCCCCCCAGCCCCAAGCTAAGTAATGCATTGCCTTAAGATGATTAATAATATCTAAGTTCTCATCATTTTGACCCCGTCTGCTCTGCCATGGAGTCTTGGTGTGACTCTGTAGGACTAGCACTGAACCACAAGGTTGGTTTAAACCTCAGTGTCAGTGGTTCAAACCCATCATCCTCTCCTTTGAAACCCTATACAGTCTCACTATGAGTCAGAACCAACTCGATGGCCCTTAACAACAACAACAACATGCTCTACCATATTAATAAGTGTATTTGAAGCAAAGGTAAATACCCATGTACAAATATTCTTTTTACAAGTCCTTATATATTTGTGGGTACACTCGCACTCCCCCTTTCATACCCATTCAGCCTGTGTATCGGTCCATGTATCTACCCACAGAACACTGTTGTTTCATGGTTGTGTATGTAACTTTTTCCCTTATTGCCTTTAACTCGTGAATACCTCCCTGTGTCTTCACCTGCCTTCATCATTCTTCTTCCAACCTCCATCTTCTAGTATTTTGCCCTCCCTGTCACCTGAATTAACATGTGTCTACCCTCTAACCAGTTAATTACTCTGCCTTCCTTCCCACTCACCCCTGGCAACCATCAAAGAATATTTCTTTTAGCATGAAAACATATTCTTGAGTTTTTATAATAGTGGTCTCACACAGTATTTGTCCTTTTGTGATCGAGTAATTTCACTCAGCATAATGTCTTCAGGTTCATCAATGTTATGAGGTATGTCACAAAATCATCATTATCCTTTAGCATTGCATAGTATTCCATTTTGTGTATGTTCCAGATGTGTTTATCCATTCTTCCATTGATGAGCATTTAGTCTGTCTACATCTTTTTGCTATTGTGAATAGTGCTGTGATAAACATAGTTTTGCATATATCTGCTCATGTCATGGCTCTTATTTCTTAGGGATCTATACCAAGTAGAGAGATTGCTGGGTAATACAGAATTTCTATTATACCAAGTAGAGGGATTGTTGGGCCCTATGATATTTTATTTTCAGTATTTTGCAGAAGCACCATACTATTTCCACAATGGTTGCACTATTTTGCCATACTACCAGAAATGTACAAGAGTCCCAATCTCTCTAAACCTTCATCAGCATTTGTTATTTTCTGTTTTTTGAACTTTGCTTTTAATGCTGTGGTAAAATGATATCTCATTGTTCTTTCTCTTTTTTTTTTTAATTTAAACAATTCCCTTGCAATTCTTGCCCAAAAAGTACATTTATTATTAAGAAGACAATATTCTTTCCTAACTTTGCTACTTTCCAATATCTTGTGCTTTTTTTTTAATGTTTTATTGTGTATTATATGATAGTTTACATGAGATAACATTAGTTTTACATTCATTCTATCGTATATCGTTTCATTGCCATGGTTACAATCCCCTCCATGCAATCCTCCCCCCGCCTCCCCCTGGTCTTCAGCACACAGTTGCTCTCCCTCTCTGGATCTAAAGTCCCCAGCTGCTCCATCGCTCTACGTCATCTTCTCTGCCTCCATCTCAGGCATCACTGCTTCTCTGGGTAGGGTCTCTCCTCTCTTCTCCGTTAATGGTCCTAGAGACCTCCACTCCTAGACTGGAAAATTAATCACTCCCTTCCTTGTTATAAAATGTTTACCTTTTCTTTTCCAACCCTCACAATCAGCCCTGATAACAATTATTCACTATTGTATCACAAGAGACCCATCTGCATTTCATTTCATCAGCTCATCCTAGACAGATTGGATACTACTCACGGAGATTCTGCCTTCCTCCTAGCCCTATGGATCTAGGTTTCCTCTTGAAAGCTTGTAAGCCAGTCACTTCTTGCCTTTGTAGCTCCCCCCACCCCCCATTTTGGGTAGTCAGTGTCCAAGTTGCCCATCCCTTTCTACTCTGTGTGTGGAGGGGGTGGGAATGATTCTTGCTGTAAGGATTTGTTCCCTCTTTTGAGCTACTGCATCCATAGGTGTAGGT